TTTGTACCTTTTCACTCAAGTCCCATTATTTAAACAAGACATAAAACCTGCAACAATATTCCTTAATATAGTATTTAAAGCTTTTCCTGTACGCTGCTAGATACTCTGTACAGTACCTCACATTTGCCACTGGATCATGTGTAAGTTCAAGCACAGGTAGAAAGAAGTATTTACAGAAGAATGATTTTGAAAACAGTTCCATAATGAATTCACAAGTATCTAAAAAACGAAGTCTGTTCCAATAACTTTTTCCTTGGCCCAGTTCTGAAAAATAACAATGCACAGACACTAAGTTTTCAAAGTCAGCTAGAAAACATTTCAAAGGTAAACCTTTGACTCAAAAGGTGATAATCACACTCATCGCAAGGCACACCTTCTCAGCCTATCTCAAATCTTTCTTTCAGCAAACCTAACCTTTTAAATTCAATGATCATTTCTGTCAGTGAACTTTTTTTTTTTCTCAGAAATTCAAACTGTCCCTTTAACCCTTTAAAGAAGCAAAAAATAGGAAGCAAATTAGCTACTGTGTTCAATAAAGCCCTGTATGCCTTTCAAACCATGTCGCAGGTGTACCAAAATTACTGTGTAAACATTAAGGATTGCTAATGGAAACTATTCAAACTTCTAATCTATCTTTAAAACACATAGCATAGACCAGAAAGCCCACTTGGGTGACTAACTCATTCATAAATTAATTTCTGAGAAGATTTATTCAGCACTTCTTATACTGAGTAATTCTAGAGAATTTTACTTCTATAGAGGAACTCTGCTTTATATGTTGCAGCACCTACAGCTAAGCAATTTTGGATTCAAGAAGTAGGGTTGGAGGGATCTTGGCATATTATCAGTTTCCCACAAGGCCTCTTTCCCAATTGCTTTGCATAAGCTTCAGATATATTCCTTACATACACACAATATGTTTTGCCCGGTGATAATGTGAGTAACTGAATGTCTTCTAAGTGTAATCTCTTCAATTACTGCAGGAAGTTACACTGAACAAATATAACCATAAATAGATCTTTAGGCAAAACTAACTCTAAGTAATCAAGGAAAAATTATCTTACGTTCAATCAGTTTCTGAATAACCTCATGCCTCTGTTCTTGTTTGCGATTATAACGTAAATAAACACAGAGAGTTCGAGCAGCTGCTTTTTGAACTGGCAGGACATTCTTGAAAGAAATAAAGGGAACACAATTAAACATACCAGAAGGAGTATGACTAAAAACATATAAAAATTCTAGAAGTAGAAAAAATAGCTAAAAATTAGGCTAACTTTGTAAATTCTGAAATAACTGGAGTAATGTAAGGGAGAATAAGGAAGTTTGGCCAATTCATGACATACTTCTTTACTCCCTCTACCTTACTTGTATATTCAACTATTTCGTAAACATCTTAAAGTATTCCATGTTTGGAAGGCACCTTCTATACTGTAGGTGTTAGAAAATAAAACTTACAAAATTTTCTTCTACAGTAGACAATTTTACTCTTGAATAAGTTCAATAAAATTTCAGATCAGAAGCTCTAAATGATCATTCATTTTCAGAATAAAGTGTTTTTTCATAAAGAATGGAACACAATGCAAAGTAATGTATGGAATCAGGAAAAAGAAGGCACATCTCAGAGGAAAAGTTTTGATTTACCTAGAAACAACTGATAATAAGCACAAGGGGAGGAAAGAACTCTTGGGTGGGAAGGAAAATATGACAATCTGTCAATCCAAATTTTTCTTCTCAAAGAGAGGGTGAGTTCTCAAAGCAACTTCTCAGCCTTACATTTAAAAAGCCACAGCCTGATATACCATATGCAAAGAGAAACAGTACTTTAAGATTATTATAATATATAAAGCACTACACATAGCAAATAGCTGGTGGTCATTGTGAAAAATAGCACAAACAAATAAAAAACAAAGGGAAAG